TTTTTTTTTTTTTTTTAACATCTTGCTTTTTTTTTAACCCTCGACTGATGACCGAGTCAGCCTGTGCACCTTCCTTCCCTCCCTTTCCTGTAGCCAGGAGGAGTCCACGCTGCCCTGGAGAGCCAGCCTTCTGAGGGACAGCCATCCCGCAAGGAGCCCAGGGCCCGAACCCTCCTCCCCGCTCACTCGAAATCGATCCTCCCAGGAGGTCTGCAACAGCTGGATCATCTCCACAGGGGCACCCAGCTCTGTGATGGTGGTCAGTGTGTCTGGGATGTCCTCGCTGTCCTGGTAGCAGTAGCCATAGAGCTGGGGGAAGCCGAGGGCAGGTCATTAGGTCACAGGGTGGGGGTGGGGAGAGAAGAGCTGGACTGTCAGATGCTCCCTCCCTCTGCTCCCCCACCCACCATCCCCAGGCCTTTGCTTCAGCTCAGACCAGAAGAGAATTGCCACGTTGCCTGGGAAGCCTGCCCTCCTCTTCCGTGCGGCCAGAGTTCTCACTGGCCATGTCTGCCCCTCACTTCTTGCCACTGAGGTAAATGGGCAGGTCTGGCCATCATGAATTAACCACATGCCAGGTGCCATGCTAAATGCTCTACGTGCATAACTTATTTCTTATGGTGACCCCAGTGGGCACAAAGGGTGCTATCATTATCTCCAATTTCAGGCGAGGAAACCAACTCAGAGAATTTGCTTGCATGAAGTCGCATAGCTAATAAACACAGGAACTAAGATGTGTGCTTATGCCATCGACGCCACAACCTGGCTTTTCCCCCCAAGAACACTGCTTCTCATACGCAAGCCAGCAAGTGATTCCTGCACCTCCTCCCCAACTCCATGCCCGTCTATTCCTTCTCATTTCCACCTCTGGCAGCTTCACTTTTTCTCTGTTCGTGGCTTGTGGCAGGAAAAGCAAGTTCCCTCAGGATTGGTGACGAGCATTGACAAAGTACCTACGGGGCACATTACTGGTATTCTTTGCATATGTGGGTGGGTGATTGTCAATGAGGTTGGGAGTGAGTGAAGGTCCTTAGGAAGACAGTTATTCTGGGGCACAGTCACAATGAACTGCCCACTCTGCGTCATCTGGGGAGGGAGTCGGTACCACCAGTTGGTCAGGGGCTTCTGGGCATCACAGCTTGCCTCGGTCACTACCACCTACACCAGCACCCACAGGCTTCTCCTGGACTCTCCCAACACACACAGCAGCAGCCAGGGGGCTCCGACGGTGCTCAAAACAGCAGCACGCCGTGGGTAGAAACATAAGCACAAGTTGTCCAGGACAGACAAGGGAGGGAGGAGAGCTACTCAGTGGAGGGTGGAGGGTGGGGGTGGGGGATGCCAAGCCCTGGGTTGGAGGTCCCTGCACACTGTCACCCTCGTGCCATCATTCACATCCTTCCCTGTGCCACTCCAGGCCCTCACTTGCTCCCTGCCCTCCCCAGGAGTCCCCCGTTTGCTCCCCATCCCTGGAGCCGGCCACCCCAGTCCTGCTGGCACCGCAGAGGGCATCACGCTTGGGTTGCAACTTAGGGGACCAGGGGTAGCCCGCTCCTTCACTCTTTCTCCACACCCATTCTCATCCGTCCAGGGAGAGGCCCCAGGCCCCGTGGGGTGGGGGGAAGGTAAGGGGAGCAGCCCTGGGGCCTGGTTCTCATTTTCTTGCCCAGAGTCTGAGCCTTTGTGGGAAACTTCTGAAGGTTATTAAACACCCGGAGGTCGTTAAATGCGCTGTTAACGAGGTATTAATCAACACCCCTCAGGAAAAAAATAAAAAGACACCATTACCCCCCCCAGGAAGCGTGAGGCTGAGCATTTCAGTCACATCTTTTGTTCGTTTGGGAGAAGAAATATACTCTAGCAGGGCTAGAATCTGGGCCCAAGCAGGCCTAGGGGCCCATCTGAGGTCTGAGGCCCCCAGGATGACAGAGAGGGGGGTGGGGGATGGAAGACCCTTGTGCCCTTTGACCCTGGGTTACAGAGACGTCACGTGAAGGAGTGTGTCAGGGGTGGGATGGGGAGGGGTCACAGATGATGGATAGAAAGATCTTGCCCAGGCAGTCCCTGATAACTAGAGCAAGTGCTGGGAGAGGCAGAGCAGGACCTGCCATGCTGGACATTTTCCATCGGGACCCGCAGCACCAAGTTTGGGCTGCTTCAGTGGGAAGGAGGGGCCTTGGGCGGCCTGTACAACGAAGAACTCTAGAAATGTTCTCTGGTTCCTCCCCAGTTCAGCCAACAGTCAAACGGTTTTGAAATTTCAAATGATTAAGAGGCATTAAAACAACATTATTTCTCGTTCCCTGCACACCTGCACTGAAGCCTCCTGAGCAGGAAGACCCCTTGGCGTAGCCTTCCCTGTCAGCAAGATGGCAGTGAAGACACCTGAGGGACACTTGCCTGGAGATCTGGGGATGAGGGAGGGGGACCCACCCCCACAGCAGTCCCTAAACTCACACTAAGGGACCCCCCCACTTTTCACTCTTCCTGGACATGAAGGACTTGGGACCCTCTCTACCTTAGCAACCCTTGTGCCCTGGGGCCACTCTCTCTAGTCTCTGCCCCTACAAGAGTCACACAGCCAACTCTGTTCAGATCCAGTTTTGGTTGGGTGAGGGAATGGGTGAAAACTGTTCCGTTGTAATTTTTTTCTTTGGCCCCTTCGGAATTGGGCTGGGGGCTGACCTTACAGAGAAGACCTTTCTGTGATCTGTGTGTGGTGGGGAGAGGAGCAGTTAGCTGGATACTTGTCAGAAGTTTGAATGGGGTGAGGAAGGGAGAAGGTCCTTAAGAGATAGGAAAGCACATCAAATATCAAACCTGTCCTAAGGGAGGGGGTCTTGAGTCCATTAACTAACACTTGATGTCCTGCCAAGTCACTCAAGAACTCTCCATGCCTTTGGAATCTGGCTGGTACCCCAGGGTTTCCCAAAAGAGTCCCTGGGAAGCAAAGAAGATCCTCACAGTCAGAATGGCCACATAACCAGCCACTCACTCCCGAAGCTCAGGACAGTGTTAGCCAATGCAGCCAGTAGAACCACACACAAGTGTTGGTTCTGCCACACCTTCTGAGACCAGCCCAGGGCCCAGGACCCTGTCACACGCGTCTGACCAGGACGGGGGTGTCCTGGGGGAGTCTGGGAGCCAGCAGGCACATAAACGCTCGGTCTCTCCTATTCTGCAATGCCCACCCATCCCTCTGGGCCTGGGGTCCCATCTCACTCCCAAGGAAAGGAGGGAGGGACTCCTCGGTTTCCAGTCAGATCTGCTGGCTGCAGAAGGGCAGGTTGAGTGGGCTGGGAGGTGGAAGGTGTGGGCAGGATTCCTGCACTGGGGAGTCTGCACACACCCTGTGTTCACCAGTCCAAGAGCAGTCAGGGATTCCCCTCTCAGTCTGCTCAGACATGTGCCAAGAAAACGGTCTGTCTAATCCTGGGATGGGGACTCGGGGGGAGAGGAAGTGGGGTATGGGGGGGGCGTGCTGGGATTGGGAGAGGCCCACTCTAAGTCTAGCTTGGGCTCATCTCTCCAGTCTGTCCTCCAGTGCACAGGGGAGGTGGTATCCACTGAGCAAGGACTCCAGGCACTGGCCTCTCAGCCTTCCAGGCTCCTGGCTACAAACGCTCAGATGGTGTGACACTTAGGCCCTCCCTCCGTCTGTCCACTGAGCGAAGACCCCGAGACTCCCCAGGGGCTCAAGGACCCGCTTTAAGGCCCAGGGAACCCCAGGTTCACTCCTGGGAAAGGCTGTGAATTTTCTGGCCTACTACCCACCCCCTTTCAGTGTCTTCTGGGTTGGGGAGTGGAGGACTCTCTGGGAGTCCAGCCTGACACACGGTCTCTTTCCAGTCTCTCCAACCCGACTGCAGTCCCACCCCAGCTTCAAAGCCAGACAAGCCCCTGGAAGTTGAGAGAAGTGGGGTCCAGATTCCAACAAGAAGCGAGACCCTATTGCGCAGCTGGGATTCTGACTCAGGTGTCTTGGCTTGGGGTCATTTTGGCTTGGGGTAGTATGTACAACCTAGTTCCAGCCACGAGCAGGGTCCCGAGTCCTAACGGACTGCCCCAGCCCTTGAGTTTTGGGAATCCCTGTCCTGGTCTGTTTTTAAGGGCTGCGTGGAAGCCGAGAAACCCAGGAGTCCCTCGGTAGAGGGACGCCCACCCGGGAGTGAGAGGCCGGGTGGTGCGGTGGGCAGCGCCAGGGGCCGGGCTCTGCGCCTAGCTCGGGGCACAGCCCCTGGCGCTCCGCCTCGCTCGCCAGAGACCCAGGGATTCTCTTCCGGCCCCAGTGACCCGGCGTGGGCGCTCCGGCCGCCACCCGCACGCCCGCACCCCGCCCTCGTACCTGCAGCACGTTGGGGTGCCGCAGCCGCTCCAGCAGCACCATCTCCTTGAGCAGCTT